TAACAAAATCAAGACATATTTAAAGCAATTGCATTTATATCGAGTCAATTTCTTTTCAATAATATAACGGGATTTGAACTACCGGTGATTTGGGTATTTTAGCCCCAAAATACCTTTTAAATCGACTTTAATTTCTAGGAGTTTGACAGAATTTTTCCTTTCTTCGCTTAAATTATTCCGCAGCACTTTTCTTCAAGAATCTGATAAGATTTTGCTTCAGGCAGATCAAAAAACTCAAATTCGTTCGAATAGCTTTCTACATTCACAATACACAGTCTCGTCAAAGTACGTCGTTGAAGTGTTGGATCGTATGAATTCTCTTGTTGCGCTACTGGCCTATTTTGAAATCTCTGTAAATGAAAACCAAAGGGGTTGATATGTGCGAGTTAATGACGCGCCTTATCAACACATTGTGTTGGAGTTCACTGCTTGTACTATAACTTCAATCAAATGAGGATTAATTGATAATCGATCATTCACACCTCGCCACTGGTTTGCTTGAAACTTCACCTCAGATGCGACGCTTCAGAAAAACACGAATTTTAGGGGTTGCTAATTTGTGTGCATTTCCGCAAATTATATTGATTTGATTTATTCTCTACTAACCACCCAATTGTAATTAGGAGCTGGAAAAACGTCAGTCATATTATGGATCCAAATGTCCAGCTCTGGTGCGTTTGCCTCGAAATCCATCCAAGCCAGTCGGACGTAAAAGGAGATTTGGGCACCAGGAATAGTTTCATTCCCTAGATGGCTTCTAAGAAGAATAGGCCAACCGTAGTCCTCAATGCAAAGTAACCTGTAACCCAATTTACTCAATAGTAACTATCAGATGAAAAAAAATAAACATTTGGGACATCTTCAAAGAGACACATTTATGACGAAATGACTTGGCGAAGATGGTAAATATTGAAGTAATTAAAAACTGGAAAATACTTTAAGTAATCCATTTCCATGACAACATCACTTTTTTCCGGGACGGTTCGGTTCATCAATCAACACAATTACAGTTTTCTTCAATCTCGATGTATCGTCATCATGGAGATGCAACTATCTACTATGCAGTTAGGTAAAATCAGTCATTAGTTTATGTCTTAAGTGTTCATGTCATTGCACGATGATACCACGATTTGAACATGAAAGCTCATGTTGCCTACATTGAAAATTGAAGGCGAACTGATCGGCGTATTCTATTCACTTTACAGAATGTAAGTCAGAAAATCCAACTCCGAAACAGAATTTATATTGGTTTAATTGCGTAGAAAGCGCTGATGATTATGCAAATATCAGGTTAGATAATTTTGCAAATTTAATCTTTTTCATAATATTTCCCTGACTTTTCTCGGCCTAATGATACTCTCTGATAATGGAGATGTTCCCTGTGTGAGGAATTTGCGATTTGACTGTTGATTCTTATGTAAAAGTTCGCAAGAAACACGATGGTGCCACTGGTTTTCTCTGAAATCTACTCCCATGCTCAAAAAAAGCTCTCCAGTTGAGGCCAAAATGGAGGGGATATCCCACGCTATCCTGAAAGTCCACCTCTACATCAAAACAAACTCTCCATGCAAAGATAGGGAGCAAATACATTAGCAGGGTTGCCGTGTGTTCAGTTTTGGAGTCCCCAAATGAAGTGGCAGCCCTGCCAATGTATTTGCTCCCTATCTTTGAATGGAGAGTTTGTTTTGATGGAGAGGTGGACTCTCAGGGTAGGTCGGGATATCCCCTCCATTTTGGCCTCACTTTGAGAGCTTTTTTTGAGCTTGGGAGATGATTTCAGAGAAAACCAGTGGCACCATCGTGTTTCTCGCGAACTTTTACATGAGAATTAATTAATAGTCAAATCGCAAATTCCTCACACATGCAACATCTCCATTCTCGGTTTTATGGACGTATAGTTACACTTATCTTGGATATCTAGACCTACCGTGTTTGGCCATCTTTTTTGGAGTAATCATCTAGCATAGCTCGCCACGATTTGACCAGACCTGAATTTTCCGGTTGGCTGATGGTGTAAATGTGATCAAGAGTCACGTAATCAGTTTCGTCTCCTCTCGCCTCTCTGACGAATGGCTCGTCCAGGAAGTGCTCTTCCTCGTAGACGTAGCCGAGAGCATCGACTCTGAAACCGTCCACGCCCAAATCCAGCCAGAATTTCAACACATTCTGTAATTAGTCGCAAAATCGTTTTCATTCTCAAAATTGTTGTTCGTACAGCTAATCCAGAAATTAATGGATCACTGATGATAAAACCGATTGATCTTCAATCTAAGACTCCGTGGTAACGAAGACATTTTTCTGATTCGTAAGTGATGATTACAGGAACATTTTAGGAGCAGCATCTATGAAAAACATTAATATAAGGAATGGAACCTTGATGCTATGCATTATTTAAATTTTATCAATTACTTACGAATATACTTGCCGAAGCTTTTCGGATACCCCCCCCCCCCCCACNCCACCCATCATCAAGGCATTTAAGTACAAACAGTTTTACAATGACAAGAAAAAGTAAATTGGCAATTAATAAAATTTAAATAATGTATAGCATCACGGTTCCATTCTTTATATTAATTGTCTCATGTGATTACCTATACCTGTGTTGGGACCGAAATGAAATTATATCTTGGTTATTTTGAAGGTAATTCCTTAATGATTCAATATCAAATATCAGTAACTTTTGTGGCGGAAATCGTATTCTACGTGAAATTTGGAACAGGTGACAAGTATCGAAAAGCTTATATTCGTGCCTTGTCTGCGGCCTATGACACGATACGTACGGGCTGATAAGACTTCAACGCGAAATAGGAAAAACAACTGGATTCCCTGTAACCATTGTAAAGCATTAGCTTCAGAAAGTTCAAGATTGCTGAACGTCTCACAGCCACAGCTCAATTATACCTCATTGGAACTCGGTGTAGAAACCTGTTCTCATGATTTTTTTATAGTTTACTCCAGCTCAGCACTGAATTCCCTGGCTGTCATAGTAGGTGCTACTTTAGACTTAAGATTAATGTAAAATTTACATGATAACGGCGGAAAAATAAAAATTTCATAACATCGTCTATTTTTCCTGGCTTATCTATTTGTTGATAAATGAAACTGAGACAAATATTATCGAACTTATCACCGATTGGTGTCAAATAACGGTTTTTCAAATCGACTTGTAGGCGTCCTTTCAAAGAGATAAACATGCCAAGATATGGAGCCAATTATGGTAACGGATAGAACGTACTTCGATTTCTGTCCTGACTCGAGGATTGCGGAAATCTAACTCGACTTGGCCTTCGGTAAATTGATGTAAGTAGTACTGCTTCCTTTGTTCATTCCATTTCCAGGCCGAACCGCCGAAAACACTGCGCTGAAATTTTAAAGCGTAAATTTCACACGTCAAAAAAAGTATGATGATTTTCAGACATCATCATTAAGCACACACTTGCCGTGATGGTGATGAGAGAAGTGAATGTCAAATTTTCGAGGAAAAAAAAGTTAGCAGTCTCCTTCAAAATTCGCCCAATCCCTTTTAGATGAAATCACTGAAATAGCTAAAATAGCTGATTCACCTTAATTGTATGAGAACGAGCCATGAGAAAGCCGTAATGCGCAGAAAATGACGTAATTATAGGCAAAACAGCCTTCAGTGACATTATTTCTTCAGAGAGCCGATGGAAACAGTGTGCAGATTTTTAGACCTTACATGGCAACGCGGCAGCCGTGTATATACCTTTGAGAAATATTATATAACCTATTTGATCTTGTAATAATATACTTCAAAACTATCTAATTCTCCATTTCTGTGTCTGCTATTCTAATATTAAAGTAAATAAATAAAAACACAATGCTTTCCAGTACAGTACCGCCCTCTTCTGCCAATTTCTAACTTGAAGATGTAATGTATGTGTCCAAAACACAACCACAAATGAGTCACTTAAAATTTTCCCTTTACAGTATAGTGGAATGCTCTTATGATGTTTCTATCAATATTTAACTATTAAAATTGGTTGTTCTATGGATATATAGACAAGGATAATTAAAAGAATCCGGAGCATGTTCCGCATCATACGGGTAGTCAGACAATCAAAGACCCCCTAAGAACAGATACAGAAGCAAGAATAGAAATGCGGCGTCTGATTAGAGACTTACCCAATTGTTCGGATAAGTTGAGTGCGTATTGTTAATTTTCTTTGCGTCTCTCCAGACGTAAAAGTCAGTGTACGGTTCGACGCGTTGTACTGAGAGCTTGAACCATTCGCTTAGGTCGCTTGTATGGTTTGGCACGAAATCCAGGATTAATTTCATTCCTGAGTTCAACAAAAAATCAGGATTTTAAATCCCTAATGCTTAATTAACCTCCAGGATTTGAATTCCACAAACGCGAGACAGGCGGTCATAGCTACAGACTCAAGTAATTCTCCATCCGTTTTCAATGAAATTTTAACTAGGATCGATAAGCTACCCAGGCATCGATGATCGCGATAATTTGTGATTTGATCGGTGGATGTATTACAGTTGTCTCAACGTCGATTTATTGCAATATTGTCAGATAAAAAAATTGCGATAAGCACCGATTTTCTTGCGTAAATTTTCAATAAAATCACAATATTATCCATTAAAAATCGTAATAAAATGATATAAGATTTCGATTTCGACGAACGCAATTTCAGAGAGATAAAATTGCGACAAGGATTGAGGATAATCGCTCAGACGTTGATGATCCTAGCGATTTTGTCGCGAAAAAATCGTTAAAAACTTCACAATTTAGTTTCAATATACCGCGATTTTTCCGCTGAAAAATGCTACTTGGGTAAAGGTCATGGTTAGCAATTTTTGATATCATGATCTCCGCTCCTCCGCACGTATGAAACCTATTGAAGTCTCAGGAGTCAGATATAAGAAACAGGGTTGCCACAGAATTTAGAAAATAAAATTCTCTGAAATTTCCCTGATTTCTCTGTCACATTTTGGCGAAATTCCCTGGCAATTGAAGATGTGACGGATGGTTAAGAGGGCATAATTGAAAATTGTTTTCAGGCAAAATTTGTTGTTCGAAACCTCAAATCCATTCTAGAAAGTATAAGAGGGTGACATTAAATGACAACATTTGAATGCCTGTCATTCTTCATATGATGGAGTGCCTTCAATTTCGTATGGTTATGTGTAACACCTCTGTTGTGAAAGAGATGCATGAGGCGACGTGGCACGGCGTGCTGCTAGCGCGAAAAGCGCGCTGGCGCCTACAAACCTAAAGGGATACTTCGAGCATTGCGCAATGTGTGAAGTATCCCCTTCGGTTTTGTAGGCGCCAGTGCGCTTTTCTCGCTGGCAGCACGCCACTCCGCGTTAGGCTAAATATTTAAACTCGCAGAGTCAGCGTTTTTCAACCCTTGATTTTGAAATTTTCGTACCCTCTGCATGGGTTATTCTCATTTAAATTGATGGGAGAAAAATATGTATCAAAAGGGGAAAAAGTGTGTGTGTTGTAAATATGTATTAAGGTGGTTTCGTGTCAAATTTAATGATTCCAAAGCACTTTAATTTCTTCTTTTATATTTTGTGCTTTTACTGTGCTGCAGCGTGGTGTACGCGCAACATAATGCTCAAAATGGGACGTATTTGACTCTAAAATATCGATCTACAAATGGGCTAAAACCAAAGATTGCAAGCTTCTGGTTTTCCTCCTCTTTCATTCATTTCAGTATAGCTTTTTCTTCACAACTGCGGCACATTGAGATTCATATCAATGACATCGCTTGGAAAAGGTTTTACAAATACTTGCCACGTTTTAAAAATGTAAATTTTTTTAAAATGAAGTAATATTTTCATTTAAAAAAAAAAAAAAAAAAAAAAAAAAAAAAAAAACTTTACACTTTATTCGCTCTAAGAGTGGTCTTTTTTGGGACCCCTACACGGAGAAAAAAAACTCGTGCATGGGACTCGAAGTTTAGGTCATATGGATCTCTGAAGTTTTCAGATTCAGCATCTGAACACTTTAGGTCTAGCTGCCGAGGTTCGGATCATACATCTGAAACTTCAGTTCTTACATCTGAAGTACTTCAGATGTGAGAACCGAAGTACTTCAGATGTAAGAACTGAAGTTTCAGATGTATGATCCGAACCTCGGCAGCTAGACCTAAAGTGTTCAGATGCTGAATCTGAAAACTTCAGCGATCCATATGACCTAAACTTCGGGTCCCACGCACGAGTTTTTTTTTCTCCGTGTACAGTCTCGAAGATTTTCCCTGACATTTTTGTCATTTTTCCTGACTTAAAATTTCCTGACATTTCCCTGACTGTGGCAACCCTGAAGAAAGCAGGCCATGACAAAAAAACTTGTGCTGTACCTCGATCGTGTATTCCTTTGAGTAATTTCTTAAAGTCGTCCATATTTCCAAAAAGCGGATCGATAGCTCTGTAGTCGGCAACGTCATACCCTAGATCAGTCATCGGAGATTTATAAATAGGTTGGATCCAAACCGTCTCCACGCCTATTTCTTTCACGTAGTCTAGCCTCTCAGTGATTCCTGTCGTGGAGAAAAACCATACAAAATCAAACAAAATCAGTCAATGGAAATATGATGTCTTCCTCGCGGTATCATGGGATATACACTGTAATTACTCGCAATATTTGTAATTACTTATGTATTCTTCTCTTCTCTGATAAAAAAGGTCGCTTGAAAAAAAAAAAAAAAAAAAAAAAAAAAAAAAAAATCTCTCCAAAAATTCATGAAGTAGTTGCTTTACAGAGTCTACTATAGAAGTGGTGATTGATAACTGAAGGAGTTTCAGGCGAGTGCACTTATTATCTACATGTAGGATAATAAGCGCTCGATGAGATGAGTGTTGAGGCTCAATTCTTAAATTGCACTCATTGCATGCAAAAACGAGTTAGATAATGTTTTTCCATTTGACTTTTCAATGCCAGGTAAAGTGCATCCTTGATATGAACACTGTTGACTCAGGGCATTATGCTTAAAGAGGATGAGAAGCTGAGGTAAGTCTCTCTCTTCTCGGGTGCCATTTACTGTTTGTAATTACATCTTGGTTGAATTGTGATGTTTGGGGTTATAAATTCACTCGGACTGTAGACATAGTATCGCGCATCCGACCAATCAAGAGGCTTGCTATGAAAAATTTAACACTTTCAGCCCCGGAATATTTTTTCCAGTAAAAAGCATACAGTTTCTTTTGAAACAAGTCTTCCCCTTGATTATGTGCCTTCAAGCATGTATTCTCCAACCGTTTCAGGACATTGAAAAAATTCACGCAGATAAGTAGTTCATGCAGGAGCCACACAAAAAACCGCTCAATTTCAACTTTCTGCCTCATATGATTCAAACTATCGTGCGAAGAAAGCCCGACGGCTAAGACTGAAGAAAAAAGACTCTGAATAATTAATGATAAACTTTTTTCTTTTTCTGGAAGCAGATTTTTTTTCGTCGAGGCGTCTGGTTGAAAGGCAGATAAACGCCATCTACAGATAGAATTTGCCGTAACATGTTACGAAGAAACCGAATGTTGGAACGCTTCGAGAGAGCCATATTTGATGAGATCAAGATTTTTCGCGGTCCCCATCAAGAACAACTTTGATTCAGAACTTCAGGGAAGTTCAGGGGGGCCAAAATGAAGCGGGTCCCCCTTGGTCGCCTTGGACACAAAATTTTAGTGTCGAATAAAATCTCTGTCCTATTCCTGTATCTAAAGTTTCCGTCTTAAATCCAGTTCTACATTTTCCTCTCGTCTTTATTTTTTCCTGCTAATAAAAAGGTAAAAGCTCCAAATCAAGTAGTTCAAATCCCTCAAAATTTCATTAAAATACATTTGGACATTAAATCATGTGGACTTAATAAAGACTGGACTTAACGTTTAGTGAACATAAATAGCAGTGGACATTTAATTAATTGACGGAAGGTAGGTGGACTTACCTGGAAGCTTCCCAGTATATCTCTACCTCGAAAAATTTTCGTACACCGCTCGGTCAAGAGTGGTAAAAACGATTAGCACGCGGGGGAAGAAAAAAATTGGTAAGTTCACCATTTCTACGTTGTATAATTAAAAACTTATCCATTTTGCTAAATTAAACTTTGAAGTTCTTACGGCGCAATAATCGTGTATGAGAGAAACTCATGGTCGAGATCAACTTTCCAAAGAACTTTAAGTGTGGACTCCTTTTATCTTTACTTCTAAAGAAGGTGAAAGACTGTTTTTTTAATTGGCTATTTGAAAAATTTGTAAAAAAAAATACGGAGCTGGTCCAAAGGTGGTTTATCTTACCATTCAAATCACCATAGCCATCTCCGTTTGAATCTTGAAAAGATCTTGGATAAATTTGATAGATCAATGTATTTTCCCACCAGTCAAGTTCTCTGAACGTTTGATCCGCTCCGGAACTGGCGATGATAACAGCGAGACAAAAGATGATGTTGAAAATATACGCCATCCTTTCAGTTCAGGTGTTAGAAAATAAATTAATGAGATAATTTTAATGTTTAGTTCTTTTTCCTTGCAGTGCTGAAAAAGAGAAATAATCCGTAATTTCGTTGAACCGATCAGGTCGTTTCATTTGAACGCGGGAAAGACAGTTAAACATTATACAATTTGAATTTGAGGGAGGATCCCACGTCACTTGTCCTACAGTTTTAACCTACACGATAAATGGCCTACGCTGTTTTGATCTACATACACAAAATTTAAAGAAAGAATTTTCCAGATTTCCTTGAAACATTTTGGTAAAATTCCCCGACGATAAAAGACATGCCAGATGGTTGAAAAGACATATTTTGAAATACAGTTTTCAGAAAATATTTCTTGTTCGAAACGTCAAACTCATTCTAGAAAGTAAACATAGATGGCTTAATAATTTTTTCCTGACACTTTTAAATCTTTTCTCACGTTTAATAAAATCGGGCATAACAATATATATCACACTATAAACAAATGCTGAGATGCATTAATGATTATACTAAAATTATTAATTAAATAGCAAACAGTTCATTTAAGTATTCTAGTAATTAAGTATAACTTCATGGTATGACAATTTTTTGTTTCAGATATCATGGGAAAATTCACGAGCACCCCTAAAATTACAAAAATAAAAATTAAGGATGGAACCGAAAAGCGCAACTTTTTTGGAGAATTCACGGATGATGAGAATCAACTGTAAGTACTTATACATTTTATAAAATGTTTTCAACTCTCAAAAATTTCTCTCCTTTGAGTGAGTGAGTCAATCAACGTAAAGTCTGGTTTATTAGTATAGATAAGAACGTGTTAACTAATAATTGTTACGTGTATAAATAAAGCATTACAATATTCAGCTACATATACCACCAATAGTCAAGTACTATAACAGTACATTGTCAACGATACTAAATCAATCTATTTAACTTGTTTTCGCAACTGTTTCAGATATAAATCAATGCTTGGGGAGAGAATATTCCACACGAAGACCTATATTAAAAAAAAATTAAATTCTAACTTGATATTGAAAGAGTACAAAAATACCAAACATCTTGAATTCAATTTAAGGCCGTTCTATGAAATTGTAAATGAATAGTTCACCTTACAATAAAAGCCTTATATGTATTTAAATCTGTATTACTTCTGTACCATAGTTTACCCAAACACATGAGTCATACTTGCAAAATTTTTGATCATCGCTATTGCTTTTTTCTTCTTCTTTTTCTTTCTTCAATTTAAAAACATTAAATCTTATATGAGGAAACCGATGGTTACATTCCATAGTTCTCGTGAAATTGAAATTTGATTCTTGCAATTCGTCAATTTTAACAAGCAGAAATGAAGCGAGCAACTATTTGAACTCCGGAGTGGGTATGTGGTATCATACAAAATTGTAGGAAAAACATAAGTTTTCGCCCATCCCAAGTAACAGATGTTTATGAGTTTCATGCGCACATTTAAGTAGCCTTAATTGAGTGATTCGCGTGTATACCACGATATTGATGAGAATAACGTGCAATTATAATAATCTTAGAAATTCGCTAGGACACGTATTTGCCGTGATATCACGGTGATTATCGTGTAATTTCTACACGACAAACCCGCCATGCCTGAGAATTGAACGAAACCGCTGGTTAAATCCCGTGATTTTAGCGGCTGAACCTCACCAGCTATAACTTCAATTAAGCATTGAACTGACAAAAGTAACAAATCTTTATGAAAATAAGCAACTTTTGATTGGGTATTTTTTTATTCTAATAATTATTATCATATGAGCTTACTGCAGAACAGAGCAAAATAGTAGCTTTAATCAGCATACTACTAATCCCTGCATTTTTATCAAACAAGTGCGTCTTGCCAATTTTGAAATAGTAAATAATAATTCAGAAATACAGTTAGTAACTGATCACTAATCACAGTGATTGCTGATGATAGTGATGATGGGGGTTTCCTGCTAGTTAGGAATAAAGCATGAAATGGAAAATTCCAACAAGTAACCGTGGCTCTATTTAGTTGAGCGCATGATAGATATCATTTTCATAGCCAAAAATTTCATTCAAAATTTGTATTTATTTTGTCTTCCGATCTCGTTTCAAATTAGTAGTAAAAAAATCCTGAGTTATCCATTCTCGTTTTTTCCTCCTTCAGATATGGCGGAATTCATTCAATCTAATAAAGTTAGAGATTTGATACTTTAAAAAGGGTATTTGTATCATAAACAAACCGATGAAGGACAAAAACACATACTGGACCTATGAGAATAGGGAATCCTGTAGTAACGCTATACTGGGAAATCTGGGTAAAATTAGGCCGAACGGTGCGGGAACTGCAACGCCTCGAATACAGATGGTTCGGTGGCAAAGCTTGAATAATCGATTATCGAAATTTCTCCATTTGAAGCTACGGTGAAGAATCGATTACAAAGGCATTCTTTGCGAAAACCCTGTCTATCGATCCTTTTCCATAGGTTAAAATGGCAGATCAATCGACATATCACAATAATGCGTACGCCACTGAGAAGGTTCAACAAGAGGTTGCACTCTATATTAGATGACGAGACCAATTATTGAAAGATGAAGGATAGGCGCTTGATTATTTGAGGGAGAAAGGTTATTGGAAAATTCCCTTTCTCCTTCGGACGCTAATTTTTACAATGGCGACTGGTGAACGATCAGCTATCGATAATCCCCTATTTGAAGCTATAAAGATTCGATTATTAAGGTGTCTGTTGCGAACACCCTGTTTATCGATTCTTTTCCACATATTTAAATATAAGATCAATTTATATATCGCAAGTACACAACGCTTATCCAATTTAATGTCGTCGTAACTCAATGTGGACTAAAAAAACTAATGGTAAATGGGACTGTACGTCTACTTTTTACGTACGACAATATGGATGAGTACCTCCGAGGTATCGCTTATTACCGTCTCAAGAAAATCGAAACGGCCGGAATTGTTGCTGATGATGACGATGATGATTAAGGTCAGCCAGCCAGTAGTGACATACTGTGACAGTCCACTGCTCGTGTGACAACAGCTTTACCTCGCATTCAGCGCTATCTCTTTAAGTTGGACTTACGATTAGTGAATGTAAGAATAATGGACAGAAAAGAAGAGGAGATTACAATTTCTGGCCAACTTTTCTATGGATACTATTAATTGGACATGATTGGACATGCCATGTGTGGAAATAAAAAGTGTGAACGTATAGTCTTGGAACCGGTAAAATCTCATGTAGAGCAAGCGTTGTAGTTTATAACTGTGTAAATCAAAACAGCGCGGATCAGTTAACTGGTGGTCAAAGACTGGAGGACAAACGGGGCCGTCAGAGGAAATATTTTAAAAAAAAAACATGTCAATCCGCAACCAAACCAGGTTGAACAGCCTAGACAGGAACATGTCAATCAGCAACCAAATCAGGTTGAATAGCCTAGACAGGAACGGTCACGTTGGAACAGCACCATTTAACAGAAATGCATGTGCTGATCAATCATGGGCAAAGTGTTAATTCATGCTTTCCAGATTCATATGACGTTTGTCCAATTTCATCTATAGCCAGTTCTAAAAATCTTGTGGTAAGATTTGGAGTACATTTCGCGCATTTTACTCAACGGCATTATTTGAATTAGCAGAGGGGGCTAAGTTTTAGAAGGTCTTGATTAAAAGAAATGAAAACGGATCAATTTTGCTGAAAATTTGATTTTTCCCCGCGTTGAAATTTTATCCGTAGCCTAGGAATCATAGCTGTGCAAGAGGCTCTCAGTGCCACCTAAACAGGGAGAAAAACGCTAAATTTAACAGGATACACAAACTTAAATTTTAAGTTATACTTAAAGTTTACTTTTAATAATGTTTATTCCAATTGCTACATTGCTAATGACAACAGCATCACACGAGCACTTCTTTTCTGTATTGAAGAGCCTCTTCACAGAAACTTAAAACTCCAAAGCTAACTATGTCCCCCCAAAAAAACGGGAGTAATAAGAGTGCGAAGTGAACTTCATTCTTTCCGCAAAGTGAGATCCGCTCTTACACAGCGAAATAAACTATTACAGTAGAATAATTAACTCCGCATATAGTCCTTAATCTTATTCCCACAGCGTGTATGTTTTATTTATTTAGTTATTTGTTCTTTTTTGGGGTGGGGAATGAGCTACGAAGTGAAGTATGATTCTCATGTACATCCAAGATTTCTACAAGAAAATGTGTATCTTCGGAGCTGCTTTCCTCCTGACAATATGCACCAGCTGACTAGTAACTGGAGTGTACGTTCCAATTTTAGGTAAAACTTTTGCATTACACATTTCGGTACTATTTTAATTGACTTTCTCGGGAGAGAGGAATTTTACTAGGATAAATAATAACATGCTTAAATCGCTACAGAATAATTTAATACAGCCTACAAAATATTTATATGGCGCCCTACGTATTGCATTAGTCGCGTAATACACACTGGGCATTAAGCCAGATGCCTAAGCAAATAGTCAATAATTACTCAATATTAGATGAAAATAATAAGATTTTACTTGCAAGGGCGGAAAATTAACAAAAACAGTAAATAAAAATATTCTGTGAAATCCTCAATTATTTCATAATATTCACCGTAATGTTTATCTTTGAGTGCACATATACCTCAAAAATGCTAAATTTTTCATTGAAGAAGGTTACTTCAAATTTTGACGAGCAAAAATGATATGGAAAATTTTGAGAAGTCAAATTAAAAAATATTGACATTTTTGTCGATAAAATAGGGCCGAAAAATTCGTGCATCTTTTTCAAAACCCTGTTGAGCTCGGTAAGACTTCAAAATTTGACTATTTGCTCAGACATTTCACAAAATGCCTGATTTGAAATAACGGCCTGCGATACAACCACCGACTAGAAACTCAAATTAAGAACGCATGAATGATATACTTACTCACGGTAGATTCAGCTAAACGCTGATGGTTCACAGCATCTGCCTTCGTAAACTTTTTTCGACTGAGTGATGAAAGTACCGCTGTGTTACATGCTTTAAATGCACTTAGAATGCACAAATTGTTTTGCAAAAAATTGATAATCATATGGAGTGGTTTAATCATTGTTACTAGTAATTATTCTACTCTCGACGAGATAGCTGTTAAGCCTTTTTGAGTGCAATTCCAATTGAACGATGAAATGGGTTTTCAAAAGGTTCCCACCTAACGCCAGTGCCACTTAAGACGAATGTAGCTTTGATAATATTTGCGGTGCAGTCAAAGGGATCTTTTGGGCTTCAATGTAACGCTTTGTCGACCCCGTGTTAGAAACAAGATTATAAACGCGCATTGCAGGGATTAACTGCAGTTGCACTCAACAGTTGTAACTTTGTTCCATGCGTTGTAAATCATCTACTACGCTAAGTTTTATCAATTAACCGGTCCTTTATGACCCTAATTATCTTCGACTAATGTTCTGTGTTCGAGCTTGACATCTTGGATGAGTGAAAATGAAAGTTGAAATGGTAGGGTCTTGATCAATTTTCTTTTTAGTAATATATCTGGTTAATTTTTCTTAGTTATTGATACAATATTTTTTTCACTTTTGAATTGTACATTTCTTGCAACAAATCATTTCATGCATGCTACCTGTTTGCTTTTAGTTGCAATGAATTAAATTTTGAGAAAGAAAAACGTAAATGACGAAGACGGCGCCTACTCCTCATTAAAATGGGTAATTTAAACGGAGCGCAGTAAGAAAGTTCCGTCTTGACTACACTTGGAAAATATCTACCAATTGAACGTATTTCTGCCGATCAGAGCTATGTGTATTAAGACATGAGCCCTGAGATAAATAAGGATAGATGCATAGCATGGCTCACGTCATAATGTACACAGTTCCGTTTGGCAGAAATACGTTCAATTAGTTATTTATTTAGCATAAAATGGGGACACGATGCGTTGTTTTGCCTACAGCGTTTAAAGATATAGTAAACCGAAAATCGAGACTTCCGTGAAAAAGGATCCAATGAGTTGAAAAAAATGGTGAAATATTTAGTGTCGAAATGTATTTATATTGTGATGATACATAACAAATTTTGCTTTCTCAGGCTATGCGTTTACGGGCGAATGCCTATGCATTTGACTTAATGTCGCAGGTCTTTCACGTAAATAGGCAAATGGTTTTTTCCCTGCATGGCAAATAGTACAATTATAAAAACATCCATTGTTCAGGAGTCGAAAAACCCTTAACAAAACAAAGGGGAAAAATCAATAAAGAAATATGTACCTTAAGAAAAGAGAAGGCAGGAGAGTTCCGCGTGTGAACACTGAATAGTTTGATAGCACTTGCTGGAACAGTTAAGCTGAGTTTTGCAGCAGAAACATCGTTTGGTCGCACATTTAATTTTGCCGGCCTGACAGTTGAACTTTATAAAACCTTGCCCTTCAAATAACGAAACGCTGGACCTGCTTATTTCTCGAATCGATACTAGTAATCTAATAGATCTCTTGGGATCTGTGACATTGTTGGCTAATGCGTCGTTCCTTTGGCGTGAAGAGCGTACCTAGATTTCCACGTCAGCCCCAAAAAACATGTGTTCAAATGTAGAGCAAGAGCTCATGAAGAAATTGCGGTACGCCCTTACGTCAGAGGAGCAACGAATTGACAACACACGTCAGATGGACGTATTTCTGCCAAACGGAACTATGTACATTAAGACAAGAGCCCTAAGATCCATAAGGATATATGCACAAGAGGGCTCACGTCATAATACACATATTTCCGTTTGGCAGAGATACATCCAAATAATCGAAAACGGAAACGCAAAAAATTAGTACAGACGGTTCCCGGAAATTAATAAAAAACAAACACTCGCGAAAATCATTTAGTATCGGTCGCGCTAATTGACCTGGCTGATTGATTGATTCATCGGGCATCCTGCACTCCCAAATGTTCAATTTAGATCGAAAGGAGAGGATTACGAGTCAAGTACCGTAAGATCTCACGACGCTAAACTTTTTCAAACTTTAAAAAGTTGGTCAAGTCACTGAAATGTACCTCATTTGCGCATGCGTAGCGTTGTTCGTCAAGTTAACGGATTTTAAAGAGATACTTGCTTGTCTTGCACACCCAAATGTTATTTCCATATCAAAAGAAGTCAATTAGGATTGTCTATTGAGGCTTCAGCGTAACTATTTCTTCCCTCAAAATTTATCAAATCGTCTAAGGTCGTCGTTTGAGGACCGTTTTCAAAAAATGGGATTGGGCAGCACTGAAAACTTCACCTAAAATTCTGAAGCGTGGTCAAAGTTGTTTTTTTTCTGCAATTTGACGTTTTTTGGACCGAAGTATTTTGAGAATCGAATTTTTTAGAGGGCACTCCCAACGAGCACACACACAACAATCGTGGATTAAGGGAATAAGGTAGGAAATTAGGATATGCAATCTACCGGAGGAGCTCTGGCAGGATCGCTATCAGTGGCGGTTGGGTGTCACAGAGCGCACAGAAGAGAATTTCTTTCTCTGTGAGAAAATGCTAAACATGATTGGTTTCAGAAATTAAAAAAAAAGCGAATAAAAAATGGTTGAAAAATACGGGGAGCGTATCAAAAAGAGGTCTAAAAATAACTCCAAAATTCACAATGAACATGGAGAACATTATTATATTCTGGGGCTTTGACGCTATTTCAATAAATATACTTAATTAAATATTTCATTTAAGAATTAATTATATGAATTTGTGAGACATTTCTGTCAAATATATCAGATATTATTTTTAAGAAATGATATGAAAAATGCCGCATCACAATGAAGTAGGGGAGTTGTCATCAAACAGGTGTTAAAATTTATTGAAGTGACACATAGGTGCGGTAACGACAAAAGAAGAAGAAGAACAAAAACACATTGATTTTGAATGCGCTAAAATTTATAACCATTCCAGTTGCGATTAATCCCTGATTAAATAACAATTAACGTATTAAATTCATTGCCTTAAAGATAGTGCGGGCAACTGATCTCTTTCCCAGCATGACTTCTCCGATGTCTGGGTAATTAATTTGTTTGACAACTGAACTGATCACACGTAATCCTAGAATTAACAAGATTGAGATAAAAATACGCTTCAAATTTGATATAGGCACTCTAAGCGGGGATCATACTCGTGATGGTGCATGTAGTTTAAGGACAGAATTAAAGAGGCTTACCGAGTTTTTTACGTAAGGGTCCTCGAAGCGCAAGCTCTCAAGAAACAGCTGAGGGTGAATCTACAAGGTGCGGGAGTACAAGTATCGAACAATCCTCTCTGAAATACTGCGGACGTATTCATATTTTTACCAAAAAAAAAAAAAAAAAAAAAAAAAAAAAAAAAAAAAAGATCCAATACGCCTGAGAGTACAATGGTACAATGATACATAATTTGTAAAATTTAGGAGTAACGCTCTGCACTATTTGACTTTTAAGACTTTCCGTATGATGTCCACGATGTATATCGACGGTGTAAGTCGGAAAACACATAACTCGGTTTGCGACGTCGCAGACTTCCTGTCATACTTTATTATTTAAACGGAAAACTACTCACCGGTAATTCTTTAAAACTACCGTGATTTTTCTTCTCTGTAAGAGGAAAATTCTGCAAAAACTTCAAGGAATAATATCAATTTGTTCTCCTTCAAGAAAATAACACAGAGGCGGAGATTTTCAGACACCGCAAACGAGTTATGTGATTGCCGACTTACACCGTCGATATATTGTTAAGCTTGTGACAACTAGTGTAAAGTAACTGTGATATATTTATGTTCCGATGAATATGTACTCCGAAGATGGCGTAAGCCGAAAGATGCCTCAGTAATTAATAAATATTCAATACAACAACTTGGTTCTAATTCAAATTTTACAAATTAAAATGGTGTTGTTCCAATCAAACCTTATTAATGATACATACACCTGGTTGATGCTCACTCGCCCTGTATAGGTGACTCGTGAGAATAGCTATATTTTTATTTTTCTCGGGAGCTTACTTTGTTAGTATAGTTTGTTGCTCTGTTTTAGCCTACGTATTAGTGCCTTTTAGGATCATCTTGATCAGTGGCGAAGCGCCAATAATCGATTATCGATAATTTCCTATTCGAAGCTATGGTAAAGAATCTATTATTAAGGTGTTCATTGCAAACACCCTGTTTATCGATCCTTTTACATAGGTTTGAGTGGCGAATCAATCGATACACCGCAAAGCACGCTACGCCACTGATCTTGATCGCCCTTCAATTTGGCGCTTCAATTCATTTAGGAAACTGACGCAATTCTTCAAGGTGCGAAGGAAATTGCAGCCTCTCTAAATGAAGGGGTTTCAACGGTGCCTCAGAATCCTCCCAGTACTGCGTCGCAAGAGGAAGATTAGTAAATGGTGGACGTTACGATTGAAACTTCACATTCACTGAAATTAAAAGTCATGTTTGGTTCAGAACCTCATCCATGTACCAGCGGAGCCAAATTATGGACTTCGTCATCAAGCATACAAACCCCGTTCTGGGCTTGTAAACTGGACCACATCCAGTGCTCAGTGTGCCAAAGGAGAGACTCTAAACGAAGATGCCCACTATATCGTAATGTGCTGAAGAGAAATCGACTTCTGGACCGCTTCGAAAAGGCAATCTTCGATGAAGTTACAATTTTCCGCGGACCCCACGAGGAGCAGCTCTAACTCAGAACTTCGGAGAAGTTCAGGGGGGCAGAATGAAGCGGGTCCCCTCTTGGTCATCGCCTTAGTTACAAAAATTCTTAGTTTTGATCGATCTCTGTTCTTGCTATCATCTCGTCTCGCCAAATTCCGTTTATTTTCCCGTTTTTATACCTTTTCCGTATCTCAATTTATATTTTCTGCGAATAAAAGGTAAAACCTTCCACTTTTCCTTCAATTGTATACATCGTAGCGTCGTAACTTGACGGTCTACGTCATTATCAGTCGACACCTTGTTGAATAACAACACAGATTATGCGGTTGGTCCCGCATATTATTTTGCGTGACGAAATTTTATTACTTTGTTAGATTGCTCCTATT